GTAAGACAAATTTAACATTGATTTTATGTGTGAAGTTGAAAGTTCAATATTTATGTGGAAAGAAATACAAGAAGAAACAAAGTTAGAAAATTACATTTGGGCTCCATATTATTGAGTTATTTAACAAATTGTAATTAGCACCTTTTATAGTATAAATAAGTGAAAATGATGAATATAAAAATCATTTTCAGATTTCGAAGGAATCTAGCTAATCAAATTTTTTTATGCTTTTAAAAAAAGTGTATACCTTTTTTATTAATGTTTACTCTAGTATAGATAGAGTTCACACGAATAATGAGGTCATCATTTCCAAAGCTTTGTTGCTCCTCTTGTATTTGCTCTGCTGAAACAAGAACAGAACGCATACAATTGTGTAGTTCAATCAGCTGTAGTGTCTGAATCTCCGCAAAGTCGAAAGGAATTTGCTCCAACGAATGGCAATGTGTTAGGACTAAGTGCTCAAGGCTTGGGAAATGATAACTTGTTGCTTCCCATTGCTCCAGATGCATGTGCTCAAGAAGTAAAAACTTTAGCTTCAAGAATCCATCTGCGTCTTCATCGCTTAGTTTCCAAATATGTCCGCGAAAGGCATGATCTTTAAGTTTGAGCACCTCAAGGTTAGGTAACTTACTAAGAATGTTCATGTCTTCCCATTCTAGGTGTGTTGTGCACAATGTTAACTTCTTAAGGTTTGGTGGGAAATTGTCACAATGTGGAATGTCCACCCAACCTTTGATAGTCGGCCTAAAAATTAGCCAACTCTCTCTGACCTCAACTTTGAGCTTCTCAAGCTGAGTTAAATGTACAAGATTATCAAGGCAATAACACTTCTGAATAGTGTCTGAATCATCAACAATTAAAATTCCCAACTTCTTCAAATTTGGAATTCTTAGAAACACCTCTTCATTACAAGATGAGGGCATCAATCCGGTTAACGTTTGTAAATGATTCTCCCTCTCAGCAATTAGTGATGTAGGGGGTATGAAAAGACTAAACTTTTTTGTATGGATATGTCTTAGTTTAGGCATATTCACAACTTCCCATGGTAGGAACTGGGTTCTCCTACGTAAACCAGATGAACGTAAATCCTGAATAACTAAGTTCTGTATATTCCGTAGCTTGCATAGTGATTGCACAAGACCATTGAAGGATGGACAAGCAAGATACCTCAAATGAACAAGTTCTGTTATGGACATACTACGGTACAAACGAGATGTAAAGCAAACATCTAATATCCTAAGTAATCTAAAGCTTGACTGTGAGAGGGAACAAACAGAGTATGGATATTTCAAGAAAAGAGAACGTGTGAGTGGCATAAGTTTAGGAATATCAAAACTGTATCTATACTTATTGAAATCAACTACACGGCGTAGACAATTAATGTTTTCTAGAAGATCATCATGGTTATACCTTGTTTCGAAGTGTATAAAATTCTCATATTGGGCTTCTCTCAAACACATATCTCGAACGAGATCATGCATCTTACAAGTCTTGATTTTTCCTAGTGAAGTATGCTTCCCACCAAACCAAACTTCTATCAACCAACTCCCTCAAATTTTCCTCTGCCACATCTTCTAGATTTTTATGATTAACTTTCTTGACGAAGCCCTCAGCAATCCATAACTTTATTAACTTCCAGACCGGGATCTCACGAGTTTCTGCAAAAACTCCCATATAAAGGAAGCATGTTTTCAAGTACTGAGGCAAGTGGTTGTAGCTCAAAGAAAGTATGTTCAAGCAATCCATAGTGTCACTTGTCATAAGTGATCCTACCTTTTCTGCAACATTCTCCCAAGAACTTGTTTCCTTGCTCATCTTGGAAAGTAGTCCACCAATTGCAACAACTGCAAGTGGCAACCCTTGACACTGATGGCCAATGTACCTCCCAATTTTCTCCAATTCCGGAGGGTAACTACCATTCCCAAAGACCTTACCGCTTAAAAGATCCCAGCTTTCCTCCATGCTCAGAAAACGCATCTGGTGAAGGGAATTGCCAGAGCAAACACAAGATGCAACATCTACAAGCCTTGTGGTCAACACGATTCGACTTCCATTACGATCATCTGGAAATGATCTCCTCACATGCTGCCAAGCCTTGATGGACCACATATCATCTAGGACAATAAGATACTTCATCCCTTTTAAACTTCGATAAACTCTTTCAGCCAATTGCTCATTAGTACTGTTTCTTTCTACTTCATCGTTGAC